AAATTCTGTAAACTTTGAAGTACTCAGTGCTTTGGTGAACATGTCAGCTATTTGTTCGTTTGTTCCGATTGGCTTCATTACGATCTCTTCCTGAAGAACTTTCTCTCGAAGAAAATGATGATGTACTTCGATGTGCTTCGTCCTAACATGAAAAACGGGATTATCTGCCAATCATATTGCAAACTGATTATCGCAATGTAAAGCTATTGAGTAGTCTATGGACTGATATAGATCTCTCATTAACTAAAACAGCCACGTGCTTTCTTGAGTTGTCATCGCTCTTGATCTGGTACTCCACCTCTGTAGTTAACAGTGACATCGTTGATTGTCTTTTGCTACATTAAAATATAATCGTTGAACCGAGACTAAACACATTTCTAATAGTAGACCTTCGAATAACATGATATCCAGCATAGTCAGCATCACAATAGCCATAGACCTCACATTCTTCTCCTTTCTTATACATGAGACCATATTTAATTATACCCTTGATTTACCTTAGGATCCTTCGGATTGCTTCTAAGTGAGGCTATTTTGGCTTCTGCATGTATCGGCTCATTACACCAACCGCAAATGAAATATCAGGTCTTGTCATCGTTAGATAGATCAAGCTAGCAACTAGTCATCAATACATAGTTGGATCTTCCAAATATTTTCCTTCATGTGCACACAGTCTCAAATTTGTCTCTATCGGTGTTGAGATTGACTTACAGTTGAACATCCCGTACTTGAACAGCATGTCATTCGCATAATTTTCTTGGCAAAGGAATAGTCCATCCTTCCTTCAGTCAACCTCCAATCCGAGGAAATGCTTGAGCTCCCCAAGCTCCTTCATTTGAAACTTGACCGAGAGATTTATCCTCGTTCTTTGGATTTCCGCTTCATCATATCCAGTTAGGATTAAGTCATCCACATAGACCAACACGATTGCTAGCATATTATCAGTCTGTTTGACAAATAAACTAGAATCTGCAGTAGAAATAAAGTATCCACTTTGAATTAAAAACTCACCAATCTTGTCATACCAAGCTCTCCGAATTTACTTCAATCCGTAAAGAGCTTTCTTTAGTTTAAAAACATATCTTTTCTTCTCCTTGCTCTCAAATTCGATGGGTTGCTCCATGTAAATTTCTCGATCCACCTCACCGTGTAGAAATGCGTTCTTCACGTCCATTTGCCAAAGCTTCTAGTTCTTGTTGGCTGCTAGAGCTAGAAGAACTTGAATTATTGTTACCTTAGCAACTGGACTAAACGTTTCATCATAACCCAATCCATATTGTTGAGAGAATTCTCGAGCCCCCAAGCGTGCTTTGTATCTCTCAATCGACCTATCCGGTTGAGTCTTGACTATGTAAACCCATTTGCAGAAGATAGGTTTGACATCTTTGGTCTTTGGCACCAACTCTCAAGTTTGGTTCTGCTGTAGAGCTTGAATTTCTTCCTCCATTGCTCATCTCCATTCAGCAATTTCGTATGCTTCCTCGACGCTAGATGACTCCTTCACATCTTCCATAATGGCAACATTAGCATACTTAGATTCGGCTTTCTGGATCTCGTTGATTTTTAAAGTTGTTCAACTGAATCTTTTTCGATATACTCTATCTGACTCGGGCGCATTTCTTCTAGTGTTGTCTGTTAAACACCAGTCTTCCATGGATTATTCTCCTTTGAAGAGTTTGAATATGTCTTCTCTAATTGACGTAAGTTTTCTTCTTGACTTTGTTCCCCCAACTTCTCTTGTAGTCGATCTTCCAGATCTTTAGAATCTGATAGCGCGACTTCTTGTGAAGCCCATCAAGATGAGTCTTCGTCAAATACAACATTCCTTGATGTATAGTATCATCCGGTTGTGGATCACAGCATCTCCATCCTTTTCTTCCACTATCATACCCCCACAAAAATACACCTTACAGCCTTTTTGTCGAACTTACTGCGAAGCTGATCAGGCACGAAGATAAAACATACGCAACCGAAAACTCTGAAATGGCTTACAGTTAGGTTAATATCCCACAACTTTTAAAATGGTGATATGAACTCCAATTTTGATTGTGGTAACCGATTGATCACATGTGTCGCAGTCTTCATACACTCAGCCTAAAAACATCCTGACACGTTCTTGGCATAAAGCATGCTTCTGTAAATTTCAGCGAGATGATTCTTTCTTTCGGGCTACGTCATTCTGCTGTGAAGTATTTGGGCATGTTAGTTGTCACCAAATCTTGTGCTGCTTTAAATAGTTGTAAAACTCCTTCGATGTGTATTCTCCCTCGTTGTCTGTGCTTAGGTAACGAATTTTCTTGTCGAGTTCTCCTTCGACTTCTTCTCGGAATTGCTTAAATTTGGAGAGTGCTTCAAACTTTTCCTTTAGAAAATAAACTCAGACATATCTCGAATAATCATCGATAAAGGTGATCAAGTATCGCATTCCACTTATTGATTATTGCTTCACTCGGTCGAATGCATCTGAGTGCAAGAGCTCCCAAAGTTCCTTTGCTCTGAATTTTGACTCTGGTACGGTAATTGATGCGCTTTATCATACTAACAACCTCCGCATATGGCCCCTCCTCGAATCTCCAAGTATAGAAGACCCTTCAATATTGACTTTTCCATCATAATCTTGAACTTATGATAACTCACATGGCCAAACCAAGCATGTCACAGATCAGCCGTCTTATTTTTTCTGGCTTTATCTATGTATGTCGATTCCGTCGATATCACATAGACAAATTCTACATTCTGTCCCTCCATGATAGGTTCTCCTGATGTCTTCAAGTTTTGATAGACTTTTACATCTTGTGGCTCAAATACTATATAGTTTCCAGAAGCTGTTAATTAGGGAACAGATAGAAGGTTCTTTTTCATACCCGGTACATGGTACACATCTTGTAGTTGTATCCGATTAGGGTTGTAGCGCGACGTAAATACAGTCTTTTCAATGTGTGTGATAGGTAATCTCGAATTATTCGCTATCACATCTTCTCGGTCGTCTTTATACTCCTTCATGTTGACAAGTTTCCTCTTATCTCCTGTCATGCGGTTGGAACAGTCAAAATCGATAATTCAATCTTTATTATAGCTAATTTCTTCTCGATCTGAAACCGTTGCAAATACGGACTCAGATTTTTCTACAATTGAGGTTAGTGCTATACTAACAACTTCGTCTTAGTCGACTGGTACATCTCCAATGATGGCCACGGATGTTTGAGCATCCTATTCTTCCTCTTCATCTTGACACCTGCGCAATGTTACAGTATTGCCATCTGCAAGTCTTCTCTTGTAGTTGTAATCTTTGACGAAGTGTCCTTTCTTCTCACAGTTATAGCAGCTACTGTCGGGTCTCCTTGCTCGATGATCATTTTGCTTCTCACGCTGTTGTGTTCTGTTCGTGTATGGTCGCCCTGGCTGCCTCCTTGAACCGGCCTTTCCATACTCCTGTTTCTTTGTGCCTCTTGGCTTGCCTCTCTCCTTGCTGCTGAAGAGTGTTTCATCTTCGCTTTTTATTGAAATGTCGGCCATTTATTTGGCTAGGGTTTCCTGTGTAGCGAGCAAACTCTCCAACTCTAATAATGTTAGTTAAGTCAGACAACCGTGTGTCGCGGCAACGAGTCAGTGATATTCCAGTCTCAAACCGTGGATGATTATTCTTCTCATCCTTGCATCAGACACTTTAAAATCTGAATCTAGTTGAACGATATCTGAACAGTGTGATTTTACTTGCTTGAAGTGTTGACTGATTATCAGATCTTTCTGTTACAATGTCATTAATTGATTCTCCAGAAGTTAAAGTCGAGCATCGTTGTTTTTCGAAAAGAGTATCACGAGCGTATCTCATGCCTCCTTCGAAGTTCTAGCATCTCGCATATAGTATACAAGATCTTCTTCTATTGTTGTCTTCAGCACATACATAGTCTTGCCGGCTTTAATGTTCCACTTCCTTAGTGCTTCGCCAGCTTCCCGAGGTGTTGTAGTCCCCCGATGACCTCCAAGAGGTCTTGTCCTTGTAAATAGAACTTCATACACGTCTCACAGTAGTTATACTTATTACCGTTAAGTCTTTTGTGTAGTAGTCGTACCTACCAGATCCGCCATCGTGACGTGGTATTGCTTCAATATCTCCACGCAAGTCTGGTTCCTGACTAACCAACTTCACAGTCCCAGACTGAGCATGAACTTTGGCCTTCAAGAATGCCGATAGGATCATTATAGGAGAGAGCAGATCCCTGACCGTCTTGCTTCCATCACGAGCTGCAACTTCTACTATTTCATGTGAACAGTAACCGTACTTATGAACAGTAACCATATTTGTGAACAGTAACCACATTTTGTGAATAGAGTTGTACTCATGAATAGTGCTCAATGCCTTTAAAGGGTAAATTATAATCTAACTTATTTTTTAATATGGAGAATCCACCTCTGGTGACAGCCACAGAGCATATGATAAGCAGATACACGCACCCTAAGACAGGTTCTAATACCACTTGTAGAGTTAAGAAGAATAGTGGACACTAAGAAATATTTTATTATTATTTCTCTAGTAGTACAATCCACTATACTCTCCAATACAAACACTCTCTCTACTACAAATTACTGCACTCTTTTACAACCACTCACTATTTTTTTTCTTTATTTCTCTCTTTATTTTCCTTTGCTACTTAGATGCCTATATATGAGCTTTGTTATGAGATAGGTGTATACTATTAGGGGGTTGTTAATTACTGTAACAAAAGTTAGGTAGGGGTAGATGAGCTGTTGACTTCAACAGATACCACTCACTTAAGAGTTCTTAGAAGATTCAAACTAAGGTTCAACGACATACACAAAAAATATAACTGATAGCATGCAATTGCAAGGTATATAATGTAACAAATATATGTTTAAAATGTATCTAAGATAAAGTTCATGCATCATTGACAAAAGTTCAGCTTAGACGCTGACCTCTCAAAACAAATATCATCATAATTATGACCAAGGAGTCAAGAAATCATATAGAAGATACTTACTAAGCAATCTAGACGAGCATTGATGGTTTTAATGTCTTTCAGAGGCTGCAACAAGTTCGCTCGAAGTAGTCTAGACCTGTAGCACATGTATGCAGGAACGAAGCCATAAGTAAAATGTTCCCGACAGATATCAATATGCTAATTGCTAAGTATGAACATGATAATAAAAAAGGATAATTCTATGTATCGTGTGAATATACATGAAAATATAAATGCACATGCACATGTACACGCACGAGTAAGAGCGTGCTAGCTCTCACGCGCGCACATGCAAAGGGGGAGAGGGGGGAGAAACTTGGCTACTTCTGAAAGGATTTGGAGAAGCATCCATCATTTGTGTTATGCTCTTTGAATGGGCAAAAGCTATTCAAAACTATTGGCTATTCAAAACTATTGGGCTTTGTTCTTTTTGAGCTTTGTTCTATAAACACTTCAATAATATAGATCAACATTGCATGAATACGATTACGGGTATGGGTCAAATGCAAGTACAAGACATGGCAAATTTATAAAAGGTAGGGTACGGGACACGGATAAAACAGATGGTTTGTAGTCATAGTTCTGACTTCTGAGCTAGATATTCAAATGACTCTTTGAAATTGCAGTTCTAAAGGCTGAAACGAGCTCGACCAATGTCCAACAAGTTTCAAAAATGGATGTGAAGTGTAGGATATATGTCTAAGAAGTCTACGAAAATTGTTTAAGTTAAAACATGTATTGTATAATTGGGTTCACATTTAAATAAATTCATGCATATATGAAAGGGTCTCCAAGAAGTGTCAGGTACAGATATGAGTACGGGACGTGTAGGATATAGGTGGAGGTTCAAGATCAAAGTACCCACGTAACATAGACATAGATCAATTGTAATGAATTGGATCCCAAAATAGATGATCCAATGTTGAATTCTGAGGGGAAAGATACGGCTCCCAAATCCTTCCTGAAATCACAAGTTTATTTATCTGTATGAGTGTGTGGCCGCAAACCAACATACATATGTAGATGTTGCCAACATTTTCACTCAAGGGAGATCCCTATAGTGATATTGTTTCTTCATCCCAATCCGCTTATCTTTAGGGGGTTTATTAGTTGGGACAAGTTGAGGCTAAGTGGGATAATTGTTCCAATGGAACAATTTTATCTTTGAGATATTCTGAGTTGGGTAAAGTGGGACAAGTTGGGATAATGAGACAATTTGAAGCTTTGATTTGACAATTCAAGTGGGATAATTAATGATGTGGTAACTTATTAAAATATAATATATATTTATCAATTAAGTCCAAATTAATTTGTCCAATTGGTTTAGTATATTATTTAGTATGTTATTATAATATATTATATCATTTTACTTTATACTAAAATATAATATGTTATATTATAATTAGTAATTAATTATAACTATGTTTAATGTTATTAATTATTATATTATATTATAATAATATGATATATTATATTAATAATGTGATTATGTAATAATTGATATAATATAGGAACAATATATTTAATATAATACTTCAATAACATAATATTTAATTTAATATAAATAAAAATATTATAATATTTTATTTTATTCAATATTATATTATCTAAAAATTATATTATTATTAAAATATAATATTTTATTTTATGATAATTATTATAATTTAAATATAATAATTGATGACATTACTCCTTATTAAAATATAATATTTATCAAATCATAATATACATTAATATGTTCAATATTAATAATTAAAAATATTATTAAATAATATAATACGGTATATTAGTTTTATTTATATTATCATACTTTAATATATAGTAATTTATTATAATTTTTTGTGTAGTAATAATTAAAATATAATATTTATCAAATCATAATATACATTAATATGTTCAATATTAATAATTAAAAATATTATTAAATAATATAATACGGTATATTAGTTTTATTTATATTATCATACTTTAATATATAGTAATTTATTATAATTTTTTGTGTAGTAATAATT